ACAGGTGGGGACCTCGGCGCCATGTTATTTCACCATCAACTTGTTCGCTCCCGCCGACACAAATGATCCGTCGCCATCGCAAACCCTAGATTTGAAGTAACCCCGATGAAAAAATGTGTGTGGAAACCAGCAAGCTCCGACAACCCCTTGTCGAGACACCGCGCCCGAGGAAGCGAGATCGGGCGCCCCTGCACGATGTTATGTGAAGGTTTTCTTTTTTTTGATTTTTTAATTTGTTGGTCGGTTTCAAAATGCAGTCGAAAATGCCGGCATAACTATTCATACCTAGGGATTGAATATTGTGAAACTCTTGATGAAATAGATATTTGTGTACCTAATTTTTTTAAATAACAAGTAAACTATAAGGGATTTTTACCTCATGCCACACCTAAAAATTTTCCCGCTGCTGCGAAAAATTTTCCCGCTCCGCATATGAGGGTATTTTTGTCAGCACAGAACACCACTACACGCCCGCACCGCACGATACGAGGGTATTTTCGTCAAAGTAATTTAGCCGCACCGCACCATACCGCCGCTCCCGTCCCCCAAATCCCCAAATCCCATCGAACCCTAGCCGCCCCTCTGCCCTCCCCACGAACCCTAGCCACCCCTCGAGCGCGAGCCGCAGCCGATCCAGCCACCAGCGGGGCGGTGCGAGCAGCGGCCGGTCCAGCCACCGGCGGGGCGGCGCGAGCAGCAGCCGGTCCAGCCATCGGCGGCGTGGCGCGAGCAGCGGACGGTCCTACCACAGGCGGGGCAGTGCGATCTTGACCTCTCCAGGTACAGGGCCTCCCCACCAGCGGGGCTCCTGTGCTTCCCCGCTCCGGCAGCACACTCCACCACCACATCTCTCTCTCTCGCTCTCTCTCTCTCTCTCTCTCTCTCTCTCTCTCTCTCTCTGCTCCACCACACTCCACCGTTTATCACTGTATTTCTTATGTCATGGTGAAGGTTGCAGAGGTGGAAGGGAAGCAGAGGACCATTCGACCATACTCCACCGCTGCTCACCGTTCGACCATACTCTCAGGACAAGCTGCTCACGGAGGTGCCCAAGTACAAGCAGACCATCTTCTCCCTCCTCCCCTAGGTAACTTCATCTTCATCCCACATCCAAGTAGGTGTTCCATTTGAACTAAATCCGATTCAGTTTCCGGACAACTAGGTCTGTTTTTATCTGGCGTTGCGGGAGTCTAGATAGCTCTGCAATAGTAGACTCATGACGTGACCACGCAGCTCTAGTTCTGCCAGTCCCCATTGAAAATTCTGAATCTTCATCAGTTCTACACTGGCTGTTAATTTAAATATTTAATCCTATTGCTACACTTAATCTCTGCAAATTTAATGAACTGGACAACTAAATGCAAATGTATTTTATTTGCACTTGATCTCAACTGAATATTGTTCGAAGACATGATACATAAGCAATCTTTATCAATAGCTAAAAATGTGTAGGCTACAGCTTGTGTGTGACAGTGTGACTGATGTCGATGACAAGTAGTGAAGTGCTTGTGTCTAGATACTATTATATGTGCAACTGTTTATCTACCTTTCAAAGCATCAGCCCACTTTATCTTTTTAATAACTTGTAACTGCTATGCTGCTCCCTAGGCCATTAACTCGTCCAGCAAGCAAGGAAAGTAAACTAGGCAACAACCAAGCTGACTAGCACAGTTCCAGTTCCCGTGAGATCTACTATGACAAAGATGAGAAGGAGCAAGAAACTTGCAGGTATACGACTTGTTTGTTTAGTGTGATGTTTGGTTCTCTATGGACATGAATTGTGCTTTGTATAGTTTCGTGCCTAGATAATGTTTGTAACCTATTAATCGAAATTTACGTCTTCTAGGATTGCTAATAGTTCGCTCCTAATATGTACTCTGTATAAAAAATAAAATAGTTTGCTCCTGATTTGTATTTGTATTCTAGGATTGCTAAGAAACTCGCAGCTCAGTTGTTTGTGTTTTCTTGCTTCTCCTATGCATTTCAACCATTAAGTCTTACAATTATATTTTTTGTTCATGTAAAGAAGCGCCAACTACTGAATATGAGAAGATTAGGGCTAAAAATATGATGAGGAACAACCGCATATTCCAATCACTTGGCATCGCTGCATTAGGTATGATGGTTAGGAACTCAAATCAAATGCAGCAAGGTAGTGCCATCATCGGTGGGGACTCAGCTTCTGCCATAACACAACAAGGCTCAAGCTCTGAGTACAGTCCTGACGATGAGGTCATTGAGGAGGATGAAGTTGATGATATTGTAGTGGAGAAGGAAGATAAGGTGCTAATTCTACCTTTGTTTTTGAGGGATGGGGGCTATTTGTATGCTATATGTGCTTGAGTGCTTTTACTAATTTTTGAAAGACATTTTTTTGCACGAGATCTAGTAGTTGTCTCTTTTTTATTATAATGCTTTGAAGGTTTCTAAGAAGGCAAGGAAGTCGATTAATAAAAAGACTAAGAAGAGTTTTGATAAACCTTCTGAGATGGCTCCAGGAAAAACAAGGGTGATTGCTCCAGCCTCAGGAGGCTCAAAGAGGGTGCTACCTGGTTTGAACTCGGATGAACATGAATCTGCTCGAGTCACTAGGCAGAAAACAAAGCTGTCTCTAACCAACCATGAAGAAAGTCTTGTGCAAATGGATGTAGGAAGCCCAGCAAATGTGGATGAAGGAAGCCTCCATGTGCACGTGGATGTAAGAAGCTCGATGCACGAAGATGAAAGAAGCCTGATGCATGGGGGTGAAGTAAGCCTGATGCAGATGGGTGAAACAAGCCATGTCCCATCTACTCTGTGCACAAATCAGCCAATTGAAGTTCCTGAGTTCTCTGATCAACAGCTTGACCAACAGCGGCAAATGGACGTTGAAGGCAAGTAATAATAACACATGATCAGTTATGAAATCATGAAATGCAAACTTGATTTGTCTTAATTGTATGAATGTCTTCTTTTTCAGCTACACCTATTGTGGATAAGTGCAGGAATGGGAAAGGGCTCGAAAGACTCACTAAAGAGTTAGGCTCTAAGATTATCATCCAAGTGGCTGAGGGGAAGAAACGCCCGGACAAACCAGCATAGGCTGCAAAGCTTGCATCCCAGGGTGGGGTCGCTGCGAGGTAGCATCTACCACTCCTTCCCCACTTCAAGGAGTACAAGGCCAATGGGCATCATATTGACAGTTTCATTGGCAAAGTTGCTGTAAGTATATTCTTTCTCAGCCAAATGTGATTATATCTGTTCACTTGTTATATCATTCTAAATTGTGTCCTTGCATTATATGTTATCTACTCAGATCAATTTTGATATGGACACCCGTTCCGATGCCGTGAAGTATGCATGCACTGACATCCTCAAGACCGCGTTGAAGAATAGGCGCCACCATCTCAAGAAGAAGCATTTTGACAATGTACCGGCCAATCTAGTGAGTGTCAAATCTCTTGATAAGAATGTGACAGATGCGGAGTGGCAAAGACTGGTCAAGATGTGGTCTACCCCAAGGCACAAGGTATTCATACTGTAGTTCTATGTGAAGGAGTTCATTGTGTCTATGTTTACCATTGTGCTTGTTTTATCTTGCCATGTTCATACGATAGCTATTTAGCTGGTATAATAATGATGATGTGCTTGTTTACCATTGTGTCTATTGTGCTTGTTTTATCTTGCCATCGTTGTGCTGCTTGGAGAGATGATGATAACATTGTTTTCATGCTATTATGGCTGCATACACTTTTGAACTGCAACTTGGATTGCAATCTGTAGGAGCCTTTATGGTTGCTCCATTAATTCTCATGTTTCTTTTTCCATGGTAGGAAACCTGTCAGTCGAACAAGGAGAACCGTTCCAAAGTTAAGTTCCATCAGAAAACTGGTTCTCGCCCCTACATTTCCCATGTGCATGCTTTGGTAAGGATCTCTCATGTTATCAATTGCTACTACAGTGATTCTTTTAATTGTTTCTTATTGTTCCATTGTGTCGTGAACAATTTCAGAAAGAGGCTCGTAAGGGTGAAGAGTTGACTGCATTTGATCTATTCAAGGAGTGCCACAATGGCAAGAAGACTGGATTCTCTGAGCCAGTTAAGAAGGCGATAGTAAGTTTCTAGTATTCTTTTTCGTGTTGATGAGGCTTGTTTACCTCATCCTTGTTACACTTGATTACATTATATGACTTCTGCTTGACGGATTTGATAGAGATGGTTTTTTCAAAGTAGTACCGCATATGATTCATGTTTTGTTATAGTTTGTTTGTACCAGTCCTCTGTTTCACTGCATTGCATATTCATTTTGGTACTGGAAATGCGACAATATTCAGGCAATTTTAGTTCTTGTTGTAGTCCAGCAGGTATTGCTTATCGTTGGAGAATCTTAATTAAGAGAGAGCATTGTATGTTCTTTGACTATTTGTCTAGTGATTGCCTGAAGCATCTATCTTCCCATCTTTCAGAGTGGAGAAACTCTGTCATTTCATATACGATCTGAATGAAATGTTTAGGACTTGTGGAAGTGGATTTCTCTGATACTATATACTGTACTAAAGAAACAACATATGCGCTCCTGAAACGTACTACATTCTTCTCTGCTCCATGTTCCCATTTAAGCTAAACAGAGATGCACACAGTTGCCTAATTTAAATTTCAACAATGGTTTGTTTTGTATGCTTACCTGTTTAATAAACCTGGTGCCATGCTTCTTTCATGTAGCTGATAGTAACTTGCAAAAAAAAGTGATTCCCAAGGATGATTAATTCTGCTTGCCTGCTTCAAAGTTTTCAAATAACTAGTTAATTAGTAGCATGGAGACTGGATTATTATTTAGTCAACATTCTTGAGTAGTTTGCTTATAAAGTTTCCTAGTTATTCAGAACCAACTGCAATGACATGTGTGTGCATCTTTCTTTAAATGTCAGGCTGACATGGAAAAAGCTATGGAACAAGGGGTACCAGAAGGTGGAGAACCAAAGAATGTTGCTGCTGTTGTTGCTGACATTCTCACTAAAGAATGTCCCTCCAGCACATTCCTCAAAATGTTGGCCTTGAGTCAAGCTCCAAGAAGAAGTTCAACAGATCTGCAGCTGCTTTGGATGCTCATGTACAAGAACTAGAGTACAAGCTTGAGAAGGAGAGGCGAGTCGCTGAGTTGATGCGAGAGGAGCTTGTTGATGTCAAGAAGAAATCAGAGGAGACCGAAGCTGCACGCGCCGCAGAGTACCAGTTGTTACTGCAAAGAGTTGAGGCCACCGATGCTAGATTTGCGCATCTCATGAATCTGTTCGAAGGTAAAATAGTTTAGTACGGTGTGGTTGATGTTGGCTTTGGTACTTTTGATGTTGAGTTGTTTCGACCTGGGTTTGATGAGTTTCTTTGACTGGACATGTGAACCACAATATGGACCAGAGATTGGCTGTGGTTTGATGATGTTCTGTTTTGGTTGATGTTGTGTACTGATACCAAGCTACTGTCTATGTTATTTTGGTTGGTGCATCTTATGAACTTGTGGTGTAATGATACTGTTGGGCCTAAGTTAATGAAATCTTGGAGAATTGTATTGGTTGACTGCCAAACTGTGCAATGATTTTTTTGAGCTACTGTTGGTTATTGGCCGGACCGAAAATACTAAATTGTATGAGTGGGCTGGCTCGTCTCAAGGCCCAATATAGATTTTTTTATAGAAAAAGATTCATATATTTTTGTTGGTTAGAGAGAAGGGCTGGCCCAATTAATGATAGATTGAATAAATGGACTGCACATTGCCCGAGCCCAAGAACTAACATTAAAAGGCCGTGGCCCAAAAGTAAATGTAAAAATGGGCTAAATTATTGGGCTCAGCCCATTAAAACAACTGATTTGGACTGATCCTACGTGGCATCCACGTCATCATTTTTTCCACGTCAGCGCCACGTTGGTTCAGCCACATCAGATCCTACGTGGCCTAGGCTCATTAGTAATGACCATAATTTTGGTCAAAGATTTAACGACGAAAATTTTGGTCAAGGGCGGCCATGACTAAAATTCCAGAAAAGGTCACGTTTGTTTGTTCTTGACGGTCAACTGTTGACCTTCCGAATTTGGTCAAAAAAAGGTCAATAAATGAAAGCAATGACGAATTAACGACCAAAATGGGGAGTCATAATTGACAGTATTTCTTGTAGTGTTTGGATACATTTGCTCACAATCTAACCCTGCCATCCAAACACCACTTTGGTTAGAGTTAGTTCAGGGTTAGAATCTAACTCTAACCTCTGACAGGGCCCATGTCGTCAATTAAGTGAACGCCTTATATTTGACAGGGAATTATGACCTGTGGGACCTACATGTCAGTCTGCACAAAAATCCCCGAGTGACCTCCTACCTCCGGCCCGTCCACCTAGTCATCCTCGGCCATGGGACGCAGCTATCGCCGCCAGCAGAAGGCGAGGTCAAAACCGCCGGAAGTACAGAGCCCATGTTGCGGCAGCCCGGATACCAGCTCCATCCAGCGCTCGCGGCAGCTAGCTAGCCAAGATAGCTCCCTCTAGCAGCTTGTCTTCAAGGTTTGCTAGCTAGATTGGCACGGCAGCACGGCGGCTTGCTCATGCGCGTCGCGCTAAGGCCAGCCATCTGGCTCGAGCGAAGGCCAGCGCAACGGCTTGCTCGCACGTGATGTTTGGTTTCGTAGTAATTTCAAAAAATTTCCTACGCACACGCAAGATCATGTGATGCATAGCAACGAGGGGAGAGTGTTGTCTACGTACCCAACGCAGACCGACTGCGGAAGCGATGACACGACGTAGAGGAAGTAGTCGTACGTCTTCACGATCCAACCGATCAAGCACCGAAACTACGGCACCTCCGAGTTCGAGCACACGTTCAGCTCGATGACGATCCCCGGACTCCGATCCAGCAAAGTGTCGGGGAAGAGTTCCGTCAGCACGACGGCGTGGTGACGATCTTGATGAACTACAGCAGCAGGGCTTCGCCTAAACTCCGCTACAGTATTATCGAGGAATATGGTGGCAGGGGGCACCGCACACGGCTAAGGAATCGATCACGTGGATCAACTTGTGTCAACTTGTGTGTTTAGAGGTGCCCCTGCCTCCGTATATAAAGGAGGAGAGGAGGGGAGGCTGGCCGGCCAAGGGGGGGAGGCGCAGGAGAGTCCTACTCCCTCTGGGAGTAGGATTCCCCCTCCAATCCTAGTCCAACTAGGATTCCTCGGAGGGGAAAAGAGGAGGAGGGGGCCGGCCACCTCTCCTAGTCCTAATAGGACTAGGGGAAGGGGGGGCGTGCAGCCCAACTAGGGCAGCCCCTTCTCCTTTCCACTAAGGCCCACTATGGCCCAAATAGCTCCCGGGGGGTTCCGGTAACCCTCCCGGTATTCCGGTAAAATCCCGATTTCACCCGGAACACTTCCGATATCCAAATATAGGCTTCCAATATATCAATCTTTACGTCTCGACCATTTCGAGACTCCTCGCCATGTCCGTGATCACATCCGGGACTCCGAACAACCTTCGGTACATCAAAATGCATAAACTCATAATATAACTGTCATCGTAACCTTAAGCGTGCGGACCCTACGGGTTCGAGAACAATGTAGACATGACCGAGACACGTCTCCGGTCAATAACCAATAGCGGGACCTGGATGCCCATATTGGCTCCTACATATTCTACGAAGAACTTTATCGGTCAGACCGCATAACGACATACGTTGTTCCCTTTGTCATCGGTATGTTACTTGCCCGAGATTTGATCGTCGGTATCCAATACCTAGTTCAATCTCGTTACTGGCAAGTCTCTTTACTCGTTCCGTAATACATCATCTCACAACTAACATATTAGTTGCAGTGCTTGCAAGGCTTATGTGATGTGCATTACCGAGAGGGCCCAGAGATACCTCTCCGACAATCGGAGTGACAAATCCTAATCTCGAAATACGCCAACCCAACATCGACCATTGGAGACACCTGTAGTACTCCTTTATAATCACCCAGTTACGTTGTGACGTTTGGTAGTACCCAAAGTGTTCCTCCGGCAAACGGGAGTTGCATAATCTCATAGTCATAGGAACATGTATAAGTCATGAAGAAAGCAATAGCAACATACTAAACGATCAGGTGCTAAGCTAATGGAATGGGTCATGTCAATCAGATCATTCAACTAATGATGTGACCTCGTTAATCAAATAACAACTCATTGTTCATGGTCAGGAAACATAACCATCTTTGATTAACGAGCTAGTCAAGTAGAGGCATACTAGTGACACTCTGTTTGTCTATGTATTCACACATGTATTATGTTTCCGGTTAATACAATTCTAGCATGAATAATAAACATTTATCATGATATAAGGAAATAAATAATAACTTTATTATTGCCTCTAGGGCATATTTCCTTCAGTCTCCCACTTGCACTAGAGTCAATAATCTAGTTCACATCGCCATGTGATTTAACAGCAATAGTTCACATCACCATGTGATTAACACCCATAGTTCACATTGCTATGTGACCAACACCCAAAGGGTTTACTAGATTTAGTAATCTAGTTCACATCGCTATGTGATTAACACCCAAGGAGTACTAAGGTGTGATCATGTTTTGCTTGTGAGAGAATCTTAGTCAACGGGTCTGCCACATTCAGATCCTCATGTATTTTGCAAATTTCTATGTCAACAATGCTCTGCATGGAGCTACTCTAGCTAATTGCTCCCACTTTCAATATGTATCTAAATCGAGACTTAGAGTCATCTAGATTAGTGTCAAACTTGCATCGGCGTAACCCTTTACGACGACCCTTTTTCCATAATCGAGAAACATATCCTTATTCCACTAAGGACAATTTTGACCGCTCTCCAGTGATCTACTCCTAGATCACTATTGTACTCCTTTGCCAAACTCAGTGGTATGGCATACAATAGATCTGGTATACAGCATGGCATACTTTATAGAACCTATGACTGAGGCATAGGGAATGACTTTCATTCTCTTTCTATTTTCTGCCGTGGTCGGGCTTTGAGTCTTACTCAACTTCACACCTTGCAACACGGGCAAGAACTCCTTCTTTGACTGTTCCATTTTGAACTATTTCAAAAATTTATCAAGGTATGTATTCATTGAAAAATCTTATCAAGCGTCTTCATCTATCTATATAGATCTTGATGCTCAATGTGTAAGCAGCTTCACCAAGTTCTTTCTTTGAAAAACTTTTATTCAAGTATCCTTTCATGCTTTGCAGAATAATTCTACATTATTTCCGATCAACAATATGTCATTCACATATACTTATCAGAAATGTTGTAGTGCTCCCACTCACTTTCTTGTAAATACAGGCTTCACCGTAAGTCTGTACAAAAACTATATGCTTTGATCAACTTATCAAAGTGTATATTCCAACTCCGAGATTCTTGCACCAGTCCATAAATGGATCGCTGGAGCTTGCACACTTTGTTAGCTCCCTTTGGATCGACAAAACCTTCTGGTTGCATCATATACAACTCTTCTTCCAGAAATCCATTCAGGAATGCAGTTTTGACATCCATCTGCCAAATTTCATAATCATAAAATGCGGCAATCGCTAACATGATTCGGACGGACTTAAGCATCGCTACGGGTGAGAAGGTCTCATCGTAGTCAATCCCTTGAACTTGTCGAAAACCTTTTGCGACAAGTCGAGCTTTGTAGACAGTAACATTGCCATCAGCGTCAGTCTTCTTCTTAAAGATCCATTTATTCTCAATTGCTTGCCGATCATCGGGCAAGTCAACCAAAGTCCATACTTTGTTCTCATACATGGATCATATCTCAGATTTCATGGCCTCAAGCCATTTCGTGGAATCTGGGCTCATCATTGCTTCCTCATAGTTCGTAGGTTCATCATGGTCTAGTAACATGACTTCCAGAACATGATTACCGTACCACTCTGGTGCGGATCTTACTCTGGAAGACCTACGAGGTTTGGTAGTAACTTGATCTGAAGTTTGATGATCATCATCATTAACTTCCTCACTTATTGGTGTAGGAATCACTGGAACTGATTTCTGTGATGAACTACTTTCCAATAAGGGAGAAGGTATAATTACCTCATCAAGTTCTACTCTCCTCCCACTCACTTCTTTCGAGAGAAACTCCTTCTCTGGAAAGGATCCATTTTAGCAACGAATGTCTTGCCTTCGGATCTGTGATAGAAGGTGTACCCAACAATTTCCTTTGGGTATTCTATGAAGACGCACTTCTCCGATTTGGGTTCGAACTTTATCAGGATGAAACTTTTTCACATAAGCATCGCAGCCCCAAACTTTAAGAAACAACAGCT